AGTTCCTCATACTTAGGAAAGTCCCTATCAAATCACAACTTTCTTTTTGTAAAACAGCCCAATCTACTGATCTAACTGAAGTCCCTCATCTGTGGAAACACAAAAAATCTTTTCTGCCTTTTCTCTAATCCTTTCACATTTTCCAATTCTAGCTTCTTTGCATTAGAAATAGAGTACTCTAGATGAGGCTGCTTTCAAGGTTCACCATCACTTTCTCATAGTACTTTATGCCTTTTATTATAAATGCCAGTACCCCATACACCTTATTAATCACTTTCTCCATGTGCCCGGTCACCTTCAACAGTTTGCAGAGATATACCCATAGGTGCTGCTGCACCAGCACTTACTGAAGAGCTGTATTATTTATAATTATTTTGTATTGCCTCTCCTCAAATCTTCCTACCAATATGCTTCACTTCACTCTATTAATTAAATTTTATCAGCTTTATGGCTACCCATTCCACCACCTATCCATGCCCTTTTTGATTATCTTTTTCAGTTCACAACACTTGCAAGCCTTGTGCCCAACTAGAATACAGATCCATTTGACTTAGAAGCAAGAGTGCTGTGAGCCATAACTGACAATACAAAGAAGCAATTCAATTAGAGAACAAATCAACCTTCATTTTCACTCATCTCCTAGCAGCCCTGGTCAACAGTAGCAGAGATAAAAATACTGACAAGTCCTCTGCTTAACCTCTCAAAGAGGGAATGATGCAGATTGTGCCAGAAGTGGAAAAAATGGAGAAAATGAGCGTATATTTTACGTAAATCAGCCTGCAAACATACGTACCTATTTTAGGCCTGTTATTAGTTATAATTGTTGCTGAGTTCAAGCAAATTTTAAAACTGTGCACTGTATACTCAAATCTAGGTCATCAATATCAATTTAATGCAAAATAATAAACATAACAGCTCCTCGGTAACTTCATAACAAGAGAACCTAAGTAGGAGCAAGAGTAGGCCATTCAACCCTTAAAGCTGACACTGCCATTCAATGAGATCATGGTCAATCATCTACTGCAGCACTACTTTTCTAAACTTTCCTCATACCTCTGGAAGTTCTTATTCTATAGAAATAATTCATTTCAGTCTTGAACGTATTCAATGGCTAAGTTTCTACAATCCTCTGGGGCAGAGAATTCCAAAGCTTCACTACCCTCAATGAAGAAATTACCCTTTTTCGTAGCTCTAAATGGCGTGCCCTTAATACACAGACTGACAGGTGAAACATTCTACCTGCATCCACCCTGTCAATTCCCTAAGATTTTAACATGTTTGAAAAAGATGACCTCGTTCTTCCAAAGTCCAAAGAATACAGACCCAGTGTATTAAATCATTCCTCACAGGACAATTCCTCCATACCAAGAATTAGCCTACTGAACCTTTGTCTCACTCCTTCAATGCTAAGTATATTTGTCTGAAAGTAAGGAGACTAAAACTGCTCACAATGCTCCAGATGTGAACTCACAAAAGATCAAACAACTGCACAAAGTATACATTCCTCCAGTCAGAAAGAATCTTTGACCACTGTCGTCTCAGAGTTGGTAGCTCTAAATCCTCACCATCACCACCTGGCACTGCTAAGTTAGGTCAGAGAGTGAGATGCCTTAAAATGGAAATACACTCAGACAGGGAGGCAATACCGATTCCTCTTGAGGGATTTTTGGAGCCACAAAGGCTGCCATTCCTGCTCATGACCAATCCACGGGGCATTGAGCCTCTAGCTCCTAATAGCCCCCAAGAATGACACAGATGCTTGATGCCAGTAGCCCCAAAACAGACCTTGATTAATAATGATCGAGGATAGCATTGCTGGAAGAACTAGAAGGTTCATGCATTCAAATAAGACCAGAATAAAAACTAAAAGAACTGCAGATTCTGTAAATCAGGAACAAAAACAGAAGTTGCTGGAAGCTCACCAGGTCTGGCAGCATTAACATTTCCGGTCCGGTGAACGTTCTGAGGAAAGGTCACTAGACCCGAAACATTAACCAGGAGAATAAATTCAGTACTTGAGCACAACGATCAAAGCTGAACACTCCATTGTAGCATTGAAGGAGCACTGCACTGACAGACACTGGGCAGAACATAAAGACCTGAGTGACATGGATTATGGCAAGAAATGTGGTAGGCTCACACATGGAGTCTGGCGAGACTTTGAGAGAGGCCAACAGCCTCCCTACATCTTTTAAAAACATTCAAGGTGCAAGAGCTTCATTCTATGCAAACTGCATATTAAAAGGGGATTATTGATTGCAATAAATAAGATTGTTAACAATCTCACCTTACTAATATGCAGTTTCCAATTCAACCATCCACCATGAGCAAACCACACAACATGTCATGGAGGACAGTGCGGGTACCAGACAACTCTAGCTTGCTACTTGTCCCAAAGGACCACCATGTTGGACACCGGGCATGAACATCTCTGGGTACACTCCATGGGCAATGACTACATGTACCAGCCCCTAAGAACCCTCATGTCATATCTATTCACTTACAGTATGCTTCTGTACTTTAACGCTGCACCTTGGTGTGCAATGGCTACTATCTTGCTATTATTGTAATGCTGCAGCAAGGACATTTGCACTCAGGGACACGCACCCAGCTCACTGACTAGGCCAAGCTACATTTCCAAGCTGCTCATGACTCTCATAACACTCATTCACTCCTGGCCTACCTGGATGGTCACAGCATCCCTGCTTTGCCTTGCTCTTCACCTAGAAATACCAGCCTCATAGTACTGCTATATAGCATAGACAAAGCCAAGAAGCTTGCCATATTATCAGCAGTCCTCAGTCGTCAAGTGTATGTCAAGAGCAGCCTCCAGTATCAGTCCAGAGTCTTGGATTTGGTCAGTTAATCAGGGAGATGAAAGTCAGGATCCTCTCATTAGGGGTAAGGAGCTAAATATCAGGCACCTGCCCTTGACGCTTCCTGTTCTATTATGGACTGAGATGGAGGCAGTAAGGGAGATTAAACTGGATGGCACAGCTGTTAGTACTAGGTGTAGGTGGGGAGGTATCCTGAGCAAGTGAGTAGGCAGCGCATACAGCATGCAGTATCAATGCTATTGGGATTCTGGTGGATGAGAGCAGTGAGGGAAGATGTTGTAATATTTCAAAAGAAAGGTGCAGTAGAGCTGTCTCTGGTGTCAGAACCAATATTTCTCTTTTAAGGTCAACACCACAGATACAATTATCTGGTCATTATCACAGTATTGTTTGTGGGTGCTTGCTATGTTCAAATGGCTGCTGCTCACTTCAAGAGTACTTAATTAGCTGTAAAGCACTGATTTTCAATGGCTGTCTGAAATGCTACTGAAAATGTAAGACGTATTATCTTTTGAAAGTAAACAACTTAAAAGCATATATTTTTAAGGAAGAAATGCACAGTAGATTAAAAAAATTATGTACAGAAAGAGAATGTAAAGGTAACCATAACATTAAAAATCACTGCAGAGTGGGTGTTGTCAACACAGCATCTTACAAACCAAAAGGAGGTCGTGCAGAAAATTGTGGCTGTGATAATTCTTTGTAAGAGCTTACCACGTAGTCCCACACACCCCCAGTTCTTCTTAACAACCATATAATTTTGTTTCACCTTGGATGAAGAATTTATTTCCTACTGCTGTTACAGAATGCATGTAACATGCTGCTGCCGCCGCCAAGTTTTATTTCTTTATACTCTTGACATCATTTTCTACATCAATGTTTATCTCACACTGGATGCAAGTTCCCTGCTTGACTATTTTTTGCTTGTCTTTTGATTATTAACAAAAAAAAATTTCCCAAATATGTAATAGTCGACAAACTGACTAGGCATTTCTTTTTAAATAAAAATGGGAAGGAAATAAGATGCCTTTTAATTGAAGGACATGTAAAAATACTGTGAATGCTGGAGATCCAAAATTAAAAAAGTGCTGGAGAAACTCAGCAGGTCTGACATCATCTGTAGAGAGCAAAACAGTTAAAGTTTTCAGGTCTGACATAACTTCATCAGAGCACCTTTATATTAACTGACCTTTAATTAACTGTTTAAATAAAAAGTTGACAGGAAGATCAGGAGCGCAAATGGCGAGAGGAACAACTAGTTGCAACCTCAGATATACCAAACGATAGATTATATTTACAATATCACTTCACAGAAGCATTATAAAATCAAACATTACTCTGAGCAACACAAGACATTTAGTCAGATGAAAAAATGCTGTGTCAAATAGGTAGGTTTTAAAGAGTATCTTAAAGGAGGAAACCAAAGTATAAAAGCAGAGAAATTTAGGGAATCTAATAGATGTTAGGACTGAGACAACTGAAAGCATGATAACCAATGGTGAAGCAAATAAAATCAGGTGCAAAAAAAAGGACCAGATTTAAAAGGAATGCAGCTATCTTAGACAGTTTGCAGGAGCAGAGGAGCTTACAGGAGATAGAAAGGAACAAAGACCAGGGAGTGATTGAAAATAATGATGAACATTCTTTAAATGAAGACATTGCTTGACTGGGAGGCAGATAACAACCAGCTAAGTATGTGAAATGCAGTCACTATTGAAATGGAATGCTATAGTATGTTAAAGATGGCATGCAAATACAAGTTGCTGGTGCTATAACATAGAAAACTCAACAGTCAATTTATACACGCAAATCTCCAACAACAGCAATATGACCAAATAATTTTTCAGTGATGTTGGTTCAGAGAGAAGTCTACTGTTCTCCTCTGAAATAATGCCTTGGGATCTTTTATGTTCCACCTGACAGGGCATGTGTGCCACCTCATCTGAAAAAATCTGCTTGTCCAACAGTGCAGCACTCCCTCTATTCTGCACTAGAGTATCAGCCTATTTCATGCTCTAGTCCATGGAACAGACAACCAACAATAATCAAAAAAAATGTTAAAGCAAAGCAACAAAAACATATACCTCAAGGAACCCATGGCAGGTCCGTCCATTTTCAGCATTTCAGTTTTTCACTATTCCTTACCAGTCTCTGCTCACTTACCAAGCACCAATAGTAATTGTCTCTTCAGGTTCAAGATAAAAATTCCATGTGTGGTTCAACCCTTGGTCCTGTGGCTTCTTCAAGTCAATGAAATATGGTAGTCGCACTAAGATAGATATCAACAAAAATTTTTACAGCTTTCAAATAATTAAGATCACAAAGCATTTACATAGAATAAATTCAAATCTGTAGTAATGTGTTTTTAATTGCAAGTTGCAGTTCCCTCAAAATCTTGACTATTGCACTTTGCTGCACAGAGAGCCAATTAATTTACTGATAAATCATTTTTTTCCTCAAAGATATAGCAAATACTAATTTGAACATTCAAATATTTAAATATAAAAACTACTCCATTAAAAAATTATAGGAATAAAAATATCAATCTTTTGACTACTCAAATGTTTTGTTCCGGTCATAGAGTTCTTTGCAGTGAACTTGGAAAGATATTTGCTGGAAAACAAAGACTGTATTTTCACAATTATCTGAAGTCCTATGTAAACCTGCAGCTTAGAACGCCAAACCACTTCCTAGATTATAATCATTTTAAGTTCTATTTTGTTCTCTCACATTCTGTTGGGGATCATTACTCTTATTAGGATATGGTTTCAAGAGCAGTTGCCTCCCTTAAGTACCTTATAGCTATTGTTCACCCGTGAAACTTTACAGTCAAGTATCAGTGGATTGTTCAGTTGCAGGAGAGGGCACTACAGAAATCCTAGTCTCAAACCCTTGTTGTTTGTCAATGAATTAATCATGCAGCATTATAGTCAGCTGCTAGTTTGCTGACGGCAGTTAATTAAGCATGGACCACTGACAAAATGTGGGGCCTTCGTGGTCTGTATGGCTCAGATGTAAATGAGGAAGTCCCTTACATAACACTTCAAGTGCAAAATGAACAGTTCAAATAACTCATAAGCAACTGTGTAAATTTTGCACTGATGAATAAAGAAATTAACTCCTTTGCTGTTAAATCCCAAGCAACAAAATAGATAAGCAAATGTAAGTTATTAAGGTAGATCAACATGAATGCACTTTTCCAAACGGTGCATGTGTTTAGATTAAATTAAGTGATAATGTGGAGATACCAATGTTGGACTGAGGTGGGCAAGGTCAGGAGTCACTCAGCACCAGGTTATAGTCAAACAGGTTTATTTGAAAGCATAAGCTTTCGGAGAGCTGCCATTTCATCAGGGGAAGTGAAGACAAGACACATAGGTACAAAATTTATAATCCGAGAGATCAAACGATCATAAAAATGGAGAGAGTGTGAAGCGGAGTGTCAACAGGCTGAATAAGAAGTCTCTGCAGGTGATCAAGAGTATCAGACAGTGAGAATAAAGGGTTAACAGTGGAATAACATGAAGGGATGACATATCATCTGACTAATTAAGGCAGAGAGATAATTACAAAAAATTTTAAAGTGTGGTGCTGGAGACAAATCAAATGACTGGGATAACATGTTAAGAGTCACATGATGAGGGTCTAACCAAAGTAACAAGTAATCCAGAACTGTACTAATTAAAAAGTAGAGAAATCATAACAAGTTATCAAAGTGAAGGTGTTAAAACAGGACAGTAAGAAAGATTTTACAAATACAGAACAGTATGGCAAGGTTACATGTGGCACATGAACCCAAGATCACGGTTAAGGCAGTCTTCATGGGTATGGAACTTGGCTGTTGGTTTCTGCTCGGCAATTCTGTTGTTGTGTATCTTGAAGGCCACCTTGGCGGATGCTTACCCAAAGATCAGAGGCTGAACGTCCTTGTCTGCTGAAGTGTTCCCGGAGTGGAAGGGAACACTCCTATCTAGTGATTGGTGCACAGTGTCCATTCATCCATTGTCGTGGCATCTGCAAGGTCTCACCAATGTACCATGCCTCGGCGCATCCTAGCCTGAAGCATACTATGTAGACAACTTTGGCCGAGTCACATGAGTATCTACCATGTACGTTGTGGGAGGTGTTCCCACATGCGATGGTAATATCCACGTTGCTGATCTGACATGTCTTGCAGAGGTTGTGGTTGATGTTATTCTGAAGGCTGGGTAGTTTACTGCAAACAATGGTCTGTTAAGGTTTGGCGGTTGTTTGAAGACGAGAAGTGGAGGCGTAGGAATGATTTTGGCATGATGTTTGTTGTCACTGATGATATGTTGACGGCTGCAAAGAACATGGCGTAGCTTCTCCACTCTGGGGAAGTTCTGGACGGCAAAGAGCACTCTAGCCGTCGTCTCCCGTATCCATCTTTTGAGGACATTGTTGTGATTTTTCGCTGTGGCACGTCAGAACTGGCGATGAGTTAAGCATTGTATCCTGTTCTTATGAGGGCATCCTTCAGCATCTTTAGGTGTCCATCACATTCCACCTCATCTGAGCAGATCCTTTGCATACGCAGGGCTTGTCTGTAGGCCATGGCTTCTTTAACATGTTTAAGGTGGAAGCTAGAGAATTGCAGCAAGTAGTGTGAAGTACTGAGTGTCCAACCTTGATGGAGATGCAGGTGTCCAAGAATGAGACGGATTCTGAACAGTAGTCCATGCCAAGTCTGATGGTCAGATGAAACTTGTTGATATCGTTGCATGGTCATTTCAGTGATCCCTCGCCGTGTGTCCAAAGGAAGAAAAATGTCTTGTTTGTGGTGTAGAGCTTTGGTTGGAGGTCCTGTGCAAAGAAGTCTTGTTCGAACTTGTGCATGAAAAATGTTGGCATCTTGGAGTGCAAATTTGGTCCCCATGGCTGTTCCTTGTATCTGGATGAAGAGCTGATAGTCAAAGGTAAAGATGTTGTGGTAAAGGATGAAGCAGATGAATTGTAGGATGGCGTCTGGAAATTGGCAGTAGTTCGTGTTGAGTACTGAGGCTGTTGCAGCAATGCCATCATTGTGGGGGCTGCTGGCGTACAGTGCCAAAACCTCCATCATGCCGAGGAATGCTCCTGGTTCAACTTGTCCGTGGGTGCCAAGTTTCTGTAAGAAGTCTGTAGCATCGCGACAGAAGCTGGCAGTTCCTTGTACAATGGGTTTCAAAATGCCCTCAATATAGCCCAGAGCAGAGAAACTATGCCATGTTCTTCGCAGCCTTCAACATGTCATCAATGACAAACATCTCACCAAGATAATCTCTAAGCCTCCACTTCTCACCTTCAAACAACCGCCAAATCTTAAACAGATTATTGTTCACAGTAAACTATCCAACCTTCAGGACAACATCGACCACAACACCACACAACCGTGCAATGGCAGCCTCTGCAAGATATGCCAGATCATCGACATGGATACTACCATCATACACAGGAACATTATGCACCACATACACGACAGATACTCATCTGACTTGGCCAATGTTGTCTATGTTATACACTCTTGGGAAGGATGCCCCAGGGCATGGTATATTGGTGAGACAACTCAGATGCTACGACAACGGATGAACGGACGCTGCGCAACAATTGCCAGACCAGGAATGAATGTTCCTTCCCAGTCAGGGAACACTTCAGCAGACAAGGACATTCAGCCTCCAATCTTCGAGTAAGCATCCTCCAAAGCAGACTTTGAGATACACAACAAAGCAAAAACTGGTAGCCAAGTTCCGTACCCATGAAGATGGCCTCAACTGTGATCTTGTGTTCATATCACGCTACATGTAACTCCACCATACTGTTCTGTTTTGGTAAAAATCTTCCTTACTGTCTTGATTTAACACCATTACCTTGATAACTTGTTATGATCTCTACCTTTAATTAAGTTTGTACAATTTTGGATTACTTGTCACTTTGGTTAGACCCTCGTCATACAATTCCTTTACCTATCATGTTATTTCAGTCATTTGAAATGTCGCCAGCACCATCTTTTATTTTTTTGTAATTATCTTTCTGCTTTAGTTAATCAGATTATAGGTCATCCCTTCACTTGTTATTCCACTATCAACACTTTACTCACACCATCTGATACTCTTGATCACCTGCAGAGAATTCTTATTCAGCCTGTCGACACTTCACACACCATTTTTATGATCTTTTGATCTGATTATAAATTCAGTGCCTGGGTCTGGTCTTCACTTCACCAGATGAAAGGGCAACGCTTCAAAGTTTTGTGATTTTAAATAAGCCTGTTGGACTATAAACTGGTATCGTGTGACTTCTAACTTAAATTAAGTGATACGTGAAGCTTCTATCCACTATTAAAGCTCTTGAAATTTTGAAACGGTTGACTATAAGGAGAGGGTGGAAAATACTAAACAGTATAATTTGCTCAAAAGTAGTTATATTTATCATAGGATCCACCTAAATTATATATGTTGATGTTAAAACGCTAGCTATTTTATTGAAAAGTATACAGCGTCTCAAACTTTTGGGTAGTCCCGTGTAATATTCTGAGAAAACAGGCACTTAAAAATTCTGTATGTTCAAAATACCTCAACATAAGAGTTTTGATCAAAAAAACCTAGCTTTAGAAATATGTAAATATTAGCAGCAGCCTATGGAAGAGTAGCAGAGAGAAAAAAACAAATATAGAAGGACTTCAAGACCTAAAATTTTGAGCTCAACAACTTTTTTTGTTAGAAATAAAGGAGTTTGATGATCTAACTGAAGGGTGGAGCAGACATATAGGGCTCTACAATCTACTTCAGTAATTAATTAAGTAAATGAATTTGTACCACTGGGCCAAAAATTGTCCTGGAGGAGTTGAGCAAAAACTTGGTCAAAGACATGTTGAAATGGAATTAAAAGAGTACATACAGGTGGTGAATCAGACACTTAGGGGAAATTTCTAGAGTTCTGGTTCTAAATGCATGAAGGCATGCCAAAGGCCATGTGGATGACAAGAAGGTGCAATTAATCTACTGAATTGCTACTCACCAAAATTTAAGAAGACCAGCTTGGCTTGAATAGCTGGACATAGTTTTACTATGAAAGGAATGCATATGTACACAGCTAACAACCACACTGCTAGCTTCTTGATTCTGTACAACCAAGAATGCCTAAAATGTGGAAGCAAAAGAAAAAAAGTCACTCTACAAAGAGACTAAGCATTGTACTCATCAAGAGTGAAGTGAAATCCTGTACCTGTATTCATACTTGACTCCTTAATTTTAATCATTTGAAGCATAAATCAATAAAAACAAAATTGTTACAAGAGTAATGTATTATTTTAAAAAATCATCATAGACACATATCAAAAAGTTCCAAAAAAATGAACGCTAATAACCTTTCCTAACAGAAAAGCTAATTAGCATGAACTTATGCAAACTGAATTCTAACCAAATATTTTAGCACAATTGACAAATACAGTTTAAATTATGATGACTTGTTTCACTTGCAGAAATGTCAACTGCTCACAAAATTAATTGGATGAATTAGTTATCTTCAAACTTTGGTTACTTGTAGCATAGCTCACCCAAAACATCATCCCAAAACATGTACCAAATGCTACAAAGCAATACACAATTTGGTGTGGTTACCTTACATTGTCAATCCTTGATTTGTGCTATAATCAGTTCAGTGTCCCTAGCTTAGAGCAGTATTTTAGGGTATTCACAAGATGTAGTAAAGGATTTGCATTTTACAGGAGCTATGATAATTTCAACAATTGCTACCAACAGATGCTGGATTCATTATACTAATTCAGCCAGAAATGTTTCATCTTGGAATCCTTACTCATAGATTCAATAACTTTACTACAATGTAAAGTCAATTGATCTTTAGTTAGTTGAATTTGCTCCATATCCTTTACAGTTGGCAGTTTTTGGGCATTCTGAGCCAGGTAGTAAGACTTGCAGGATTTTAACAATTTATGCTAACACTCCATTGTATTTGCATAGCTTTTTACTTAAAAAAAAACATTAAATCCAAAGCCCTATCTGCCTGTTGCAATGGTTCACTGGACCTTAAACAGTATCCCAAGGTGTAGACCATTCAGCCCACTGAATCTGGTCCACCATTAAATATGATCATGGCTGATGAAATATCGGCCTTAATTCCACTTTCCTACCTACTACCTCCATCCCTCCACTTCCTCAACTCCACTATACATCTAAATATGTTCTAGGCTGAATTGGATATATTTTTATGACCCAGCCTCCATTTATCTTTGGAAGAGAATTCCAAAGACTAAAAAGACCATGAAAGAATAGATTCCCCTCTCCTCTAAAGTGTTATTTTTAAACTTTGACCCCAGTTCTAAATTCATTCATGATGGGAAACCATTGATTCTTATGAAGATTTATTTGATCTCGTAACAAAAGTTTACCTCCAACATGTCACAGTCTGACAATTTCATCAACTTGTATATACACCTCTACAAAACTTTACAAGCATAACTGAAGTATAAGCAACTCATGATACAGGAGAATGAGATCAGAATTTCTGTTCAAGCCCCACACTGGAGATTTGAGTGCAAATTAAAGCTGGCACTCTAGAGGAGATCTGAGAATATTGCACTGTTAGAGATGCATCTTTTGAATAAGGTGTTAAACAGGAGATCTTGTCCGCTCTTTAAAGTGGACGCACAAGATCCCATGGGACTAACAGGAAGAGTAGCGCCATTTTCCTCTGCCCTGTCCAATCCCTTAAACAAAGCTGCTAAAATAAAAGGCTGTTAAGAAATCAAGAGATTACTGTATATAAATTGACTGCCACGTTTCTTACATTACAACAGTGACTACACTAAGATTTTTCATTCGTTGTTAAGTACTTTGGGACAGCATAAGCTTACGATACAAGTGCAAGTATTGCCTTATAGAGATGCACAGGAGTTTAATCTGAAGCTTTTGAAAAGTACACAGAGCTGAGTTCATATTCACAACTTCACATCTGCTAAAATTCTAGTGTCACCAAGGTAAGATAAAGTCAGAAGCCACATGACATCAGCTTATAGTCCAACAGATTTATTTGAAATCACAAGCTTTCGAAGCATAGTACCTTTGTCAGGTGAAGTGGGGGCAAGTGCACAGGCACAGAATTTACAAGCAAACATATCATTGCAAGATAATTCTAGGTAATTAAGAGTGTCAAAGATAGTAAAAATGGTGTGGGTGGAGTGTTGGCAGGCTGAATAACAAGTCTTTGCACGTGATCAAGTGTCAAAGAGCGAGAATAAAATGTGAATAATGAGTGAAGGGACCTACGCCTCCACTTCTCACCTTCAAACAACCGCCAAACCTCAAACAGACCTTAGTTCTCAGCAAATTACCCAGCTTTCAGGAGAACAGCAAGAACACCACACAATCCTGCCATGGCAACCTCTGCAAGACATGCCAGATCGACACAGATACTACCATCACAAGTCAGAACACCACCCACCATGAACATGGTAGGTACTCGTGTGACTTGTCTACTAATGTTGTCTACCTTACATGCTGCAGGAAAGGATGCCAAGGCATGGTAGATTGGCAAGACCATGCAGACACCATGACAATGAGTGAATGGACACCGTGCAACAATCGTCAGACAGCAGTGTTCCCTCTCAGGTCGGGGAACACTTCAGCAGTCAAGGACATTCAGCTTCCAAACTTCAGGTGAGCATCCAAGGCAGCCTTCGAAATGCACAACAAAGTACAATCACTGAGCAGAAACCAATAGTGAAGTTCCGTAACCATGAAGACAGCCTCAACAGTGATTCTGGATTTATTTTGTGCTACGTATAACCCCACCATACTGCTATGTTTGTAAAATCTTCCCTACCGTTCTGTTTTGACACCATCACCTTGATAACTTGATATGATATCTCCACTTTTGTTTGTAGTTTTGGATTACTTGTTACTTTGGTTAGACCCTTGTCATGTGACTCATACTTATATTGTATCCAACCTCTTGGTTTGTCTCTAGTGCCATTTTCTTTTTAATTTTTCGTAACTACCTTTCTGCCTCTTAAATCAGATCATAGGTCATCCCTTCACTGGCTACTCAGCTGTTTACACTTTACTCACATCACCTGACACTTTTGATCACTTGCAAAGGTTTGTTATTTAGCCTGTCGACCCTCTACTCACACTAATTGTACTATTTTTTGACACTCAATTACCTAGAATTATCTTGCAAAGATCTCTCTGCCTATAAATTCTGTGCCTGTGCGCTCCCCTCCTCTTCATCTGACAAAGGAGCAGCACTTTGAAAGCTTGATTTCAAATAAACCTGTTGGACTATAACCCGGTGTCACGTGACTTCTGACTTTGTCCACCCCAGACCAACACCGGCATCATGAAGGTAAGGACTGATTAACAGCTGGTTAGTTCCTTAAAGAAAGGCATGAAACCTAGAAGGTTTAAAATCACCTCCTAATTCCACACCACCTCTTGGTAGCTCTTTTAACAGTCACAACAAGAAAGGCCAAAAAGGAATTCTGTGTTTTTTGGTGTCAACTTCTAGCACAAGACAAAGAAATTCTAAAAAGTGAGATGGAGTGAGGAATTATAATGCTTCTGTTAGGTTATTTAAATACTGTGCACATAACAGATACTATTCCTACCAAAAATAATTCTGAGCTCAAGAGACTGAAATTAAATAATTACCTTTACATGGTTACAGAAGCCACCCGCATGCATGCCAAATTTGAATAAACTGGTGATTGAAATAGAGTGGCTTGCATTTTTTGTAATTATTTCATGAAATGTGGGTATTACTTGCAAGGTCAACATTTGTTACCCATTCCTAGCTGCCCTTGAACTGTGCAGCTTACTAGGCCATGTCAGAGGGCAGTGCCATGCCTAGATGGCACAAAGGCAGATCCTAAATTGGTTTTCTTTAAAACTATTTCCTCCTGCTTAAATTTTCTTTGAAATGGACACTTTGTTGGATTGATAACATGGCTGCCATTGATAACAATTTTTGGAAAGTAGGGATCGGCAGTAACTAGGACACAAAAGCTTACATCATTTTCCTGCAATGTCAGACATTCTATAAATATTCCTGCAAAGCCAATACAAAGGAACTGCTGAGATAACAAGGTGTAGAGCTGGATGAACACAGGCCAAACAGCATCAGAGGGGCAGGAAAGCTGACATTTCGGGTCTGGACCCTTCTTCACCCGAAACATCAGCTTTCCTGCTCCTCTGATGCTGCTTGGCCTGCTGTGTTCATCCAGCTCTACACCTTGTTATCTCAGATTCTCCAGCATTGGTAATTCCCACTATCTCAGACAATGGAACTGCTAACAAGATAACAATAGTAGCCAGTTCAGAACAAAGACGACAATTTAAATATATTATCCATGAGATGGTGCTAACGGCTTTCGTGGCTCTCCTAAAATACGATGGTTTTTGACCAAATGCCAAGTAATCTTGCTAGCTAGGGTGACTTATTGTGGAACCTCAGTAATGTGACTGAAAATTAATTTTTGAACAGCTTCAACTTTCTACACGAGAACTAGAAACTACTAAAGCAGCCCAGGCTCAGCTAAATATCTGCCTTTGTCTCAATCTTTCTCAAAAATTAAATTTCTAGAAAGAATCCTCTATTTAACCTGAAAAATGAATTTCCCAGGCTAAAAAGAATTAACTTCAACTCCATTACACCTGTATTTGAGACTCTACATAAAAGGAAGTCTGGCCAATCACCCAACTGGAAGCGTTCATGGATATTTACTTATTAGAGTCTAACATACATAAATTAATATCACTATCTTTGATTTTTCAATAATTTGTAATTTCCTTTTTACCCTGTACGTGAGAACATCTGTCACAAACTTTTGAACTCATGAATGAACTCAGCTTTGTTTTAACCTTAAGCAGTTTGTGGTGGGCTTCTTCTTGAAATTTGGATTTCTTCAACCAGGTTTAAGAAAATACATAACTGCCTATTTTAAGTAAAGGAAAACAAAGAAACAAATTAAAAATCACCTCTGTTATAGATAGAAGAGGAAAAAAGTAAAAGTTGTTCAATTCATATGCTGCTCATTCATGGCAATAATTAAGAATCAATCACATCTAAAGACACATCGACCACACCAGATACTGATGGCAGATATCTTTCCCTAAATTGAAAT